ATCGTGTCTGCTGCTATTGTTGCTGCTGCTGCTGCAGCAGGTGCTGCATCTGTTGCCATTGGTGCTGCTTCTGCTGCTATTGCTGTAGTTGCTGCTGCTGCTGCTGCTGCTGCTTCGGGCGCAGCTTCGGCTGCTACAAGCCCTCCTTCCTTTGCTGCTTCTGCTGCAGTAGCTGCTGTTGTTGTTGCTGCTGCTGCTCCGGTTGTGGGCTGGCCTACAGCAGCTGCTGCTGGTGTTGCTGCTGTTGCTGCTGCTGTTGTTGCTGCTGTTGCTGCTGCTGCTGTTGCTGCTGCTGCTGTTGCTGCTGCTGCTGTTGCTGCTGCTGCTGCAGGGACAACAGAAATGGAAGGTGGCTGTACCCCTGCAGCAAAAGCTGCTACAGGAGGTGCTGCTGCTGCACCTGCAGCAAAAGTAGCTGCAGCAGCAGCAGGTGTAGCCAGTGGCAGCAAGCCTGTTTGCTGCTGCTGCTGCTGCTGCTGCTGCTGCCCTAGCTGTCTTGCTGTCTCCCTTATCTGCGATGCAACTAACCGCGCGCTGCGCGCTGTCCTCCTTAATGCCCCTCCTCCTTGCTGCAGCAGCGCCTGTAGCAGCAGCAGCAGCAGCAGCAACAGCAACAGCAGCAATAGCAGCAGGAGCAGAGGAGACAGGGAGACAGGTAGGAAAACACAAGACTACACAACCTAACCATCTCCTGCTACAGCAGCAGCAGCAACAAGAGCAGCAACAGCAGCAACAAATACACCAGCAGCAGCAGCAGCAGCAGCAGCAGCAGCAGCAGCAGCAGCAAGACTTGCCTGTACAGTGAGCAGCAGGGCATCCTCTGTGTCTGGGATCGACTCCCAAACCGCCCTTGTACTATTCCCTACACGACGAATTACCTGAAGAAAAAAAAAAAGGGTTTAGGGTTTAGGGTTTAGGGTTTGTAAGGAAATATAGATAAAGGGTTTATATATAATGTTAATAATTAGGGTTTAGGGTTTACATATATATACACTAATTGTCTATATACTTATCTATATAACTACAATAAATAAACCCTTTTTCTAATAATTATATATATAAACCCTAAACCCTCAGGGTTTAGGGTTTAGGGTTTAGGGTTTGGTACCTTTTGCCATTTTCTTGGTTGTCCTGGTACAAGAGTAAGGGTAGCAAATCTCTTTATTGCTCCTGTTGCTAGTCTTAATTCTTCTCCTCCTTGGGGGCCCCCAAGGGGGGCCTCGGGGGCCCCCTGGGGGCCCCCTGGGGCACCCCCCACCTGCAACCCTTCAGCTGCTGCCTTCTCTGCTGCTGCTGCTGCAGCTGCTGCAGCAGCAGCAGCACGCTCAGCAGCAACCTGCCAACGTGTCTTCCCTGGATAAACATTCTTTCCTCTTGCCCGACCTCCACGGCGACCCCTGAATAAATAACAAGGGTTTAGGGTTTAGGGTTTAGGGTTTGGGTAGGAGGGAGTGTCTTATTAGGAGGAGGATTATTAATTAGGGTTTATAGTATTGAGGGTTTAGGGTTTAGGGTGCATATGTATAGAACTAGGGTTTAGGGTTTAGGGTTTACCTTCCTCTCCCTCTTGCTTGTGTACTAGTAAGAGGGTCTGGTACTGCAAACCCTCCTGCAGGGTTTGGGGGCCCCCCGGGGGCCCCCTGATTAGGGTTTATAAAGTTGGGTACTTGGGTACTAAACCCTCCTGTTATATAATCTAAGGATTGAGGGAGGGGGGCCCCCGGGTAATATACCAAGGAGGAGGGGGGCCCCCCTGCTGCATCAGCACCAGCAACAGGTGCAGCAGCAGCTGGTACTGCTGCTCCTGCTGCTCCTGCTGGTGGTGGTAGGCCTGCTGCTGCTGGTGCTGCTGCTGCTCCAGGTATGGGGGCCCCCATCATCAGGGGGCCCCCCAGGGGAATAGGATTATCGCTGCCGAAGGACCCAGGAGCTGCTGGTACTGCTGCTGCTGTTGCTGCTGCTGCTGCTGGTACTGCTGATGCTGCTGCTGCTGGTACTGCTGCTGCTGCTGCTGCTGCTGGTACTGCTGCTCCTGGTGGGGGAGTAAAGGGAAGAGACACAAAAGAAGGAGGAAGGCCTAGCTGTGCAGACACATCAGTAGGAATCGGATCAATTGGTGCTGCTGCTGCTGCTGCAGGTGCTGCTGCTGCTGCTGCTGCAGGTGTTGCTGTTGTTGCTGTTGCTGCAGGTATTGCTGCTGCTGGTCCTGCTGCTGCTGCTCCTGCTGCTGCAGGGTCTATAGCCGGCAGGAAAGCCGGAGCAGGCTCTGCCGGGTTCATTGTTGCAGCTCTAAATGCAGCAGCAGCAGCTGCTGCTGCTGTTGCTGTTGTTGCTGCTGCTACTGCCGCCAGCTATGGCCCCAAGCCTGCTGCTGCTGCTGCTGCTGCTGCTGCTGCCAAGTATGGCACTAGATGCTACTGTTGCTGCTGCTGTTGCTGTTTCTGATGTTGTTACTGCTAGGTATGCTAATAAATGCTGCTGTTGCTGCTGCTGTTGCAGCTGTTGCTGCTGCTGCTGCTGCTGCTGCAGCCGCTGCTGGCTATGGCCTTAACGGCTCCTGTTGCTGCAGCAGCTGCTGTTGCTGTTGCTGCTGTTGCTGCTGCTGCAGCAGCAGTATAAAAAGAAATATAATTAAAAAAGGAGAAAGAAAGGAGTTGCTGCTGCTGCAGTCATAAACATTTGCTGTGGAGGTTTGGGGCCCTCTGCATGCGCCGGTGTCTCGAGCTCCGTAAACCCTAAACCCTAAACCCTAAACCCTAAACCCTAAACGAAATTATGTTTAGAAAAGACTTCCAATAAAAGCAAGAATTATAGTCATTTTTATTTATTAAACCCTAAACCCTAAACCCTAAACCCTAGAGAGTCCCTGCCATCTCCTATATAGGAACATATATAGTCTGTTCTATGGCGAGGGTTTCCTCCTTACCAGGTCATTAGGGTTTAGCTAGGGTTTAGGGTTTTCCGTATCTTTTAGGGTTTAGCGAGGTTTTATAGCTTATCTAGGGTTTACGGTCTAGCTAGGGTTTCCGATTTTCTTCCAGTTTTAGGGTTTAGCAAGGGTTTAGGGTTTAGCTAGTGTATATGGATACAGTCGGCTGTGTAGCCATTTTAAGGTGTTTAGGGTTTAGCAAGGGTTTAGGGTTTAGTGAGGGTTTAGGGTTTAGCGAGGGTTTAGGGTCCCCCGTCAGCTGTACACATTCATCCAACTGCCGAGGTTTTATGCTTACTAAGCATGTAGGGTTTGCTCAAGGTCTAGCTAGGGTTTAGGGTTTAGGGTTTAGGATTAGGGTTTAGGGTTTACTTGTCTACTTCCTTGTCACCCAGCTAGCAGCAACTACCTAAATAAATGTGTTAACTAAATATACTTAAACCCTAAACCCTAAACCCTAAACCCTAAACCCTACCCATATATAAATAAATAGGGTTATACAACAGGAAATAAAAACAAACAAAAAAAGATAAACAAACTAAACATAAATAAATAATAAATAAATAATAAATAAATAATAAATAAATAAATAAATAAATAAATAAATAAATAAATAAATAAATAAATAATAAAGGAAGAAAGAAAAGAGATTAAATAAAAGACAAGATGAACTCTCAAGTGTATAGGCACCTCTCCTTAGTCTCCTCTGCATGCAAACTGCAGCAGCAGCAGCAGCAGCAGCAGCTGTTGCTCTGCTGCTGCAGCAGAAAAAAAGGAGTCAAGAGCATCAACAGCAGCAGCAACAACAACAGCAGCTGCAACTGCTGCTGCTGCTGCAGGTGTTGTCGCTGTTGTTGCTGTTGCTGCTGTTGCTGCTGCTGCTGCTGCTTGCTGCAGACAGCAAAGCAGCAGCACTGCGAGCGACACTGCGCATGCAGCTGCTGCTACAGTTGCTACAGCTGCAGCAACGACAGCAGCTGCAGTTGCAGCAGCAGCAACAGCAGCAGTTGCTGCTGCATCTGTACAGTTTCTGTGTTGCTGCTGTGTCTGCTGCGTGTTGCTGCTATAAGCAGCAGCAACACCATTAAGTTGTTGCTGCAGTTGAAGCAGCAGCAGCAACAACAACAGCAGCAGCAGCAGCAGCAGCAAGAGTCAATTCTGTTGCTGCTGCTGCTGTTGTTGCTGCACCACTGTAGCTCCAGCATAAACAACATCCACCACCACCTACAGCAGCAGCATTATTCACAGCACCACCTGCTGCTGCTGCTGCTGCTGCAGCTGCTGCAGCAGCTGCAGCAATAAACACATCATCCCTCCTCCTTTTTATTAGCATATAAATAATACATAATAAATAAATGCATCAATACATATTCTGTATATACTCTCCTGCTGCGCTTTTTGCTGCTGCTGCTGCTGCTGCTGCTAATATAACAGCAACAGCAACAACACCAACAGCAGCAGCAGCAGCAACAACAACAGCAACAGCAGCAACAAGAATTAAGCTACTCCTCCTCTTAATTGTAAGACCATATGTATAGTACAACCAGGAGAAACCTTATAATCAGCTAACCTTAGATCATCATTCATCTGTTTACCTGCATATATTAATCTTATTTGTTTTATATCTATTCCTTCTTTTTCTTGTAGTGCTTGCTTGAGGTGTATGACCAGGTTATCTGATTCAAAATTGAAGGATTGACGACGTCCTGTTAATGTTTTTATTAATATCTGCATCTTTTTTATACTTTTTTTCCTCTTTTTATCTATTTATTTATATACTATATCTTATTATATATTATATACACAAAAAATCAACTCTTTATCTCTTATATTCACCAAGATATACACTTTTCTATTTTCTTATATTTATACCCTACTAAACCCTAAACCCTAAACCCTAAACCCTAAACACTAATTCTTATACTTTTTGCACAATATATTATATTATATATATCTATTTATATTTATTTTTATATTTATATTCTTCTTTATTTAATTTTATACTCAAAAGAAAAAAGAAGAAAAAAAAAAAAAAGAAAAATTAACGTCGTCGCAATTGGGGTGTATAGGCAGCTCCGTGCTGCTGATGGCTCCTGCTGCTCCTGCTCCTGTTCTTGTTTATATATTTATATAAAGAATATATTTATTTATTTATTTATTTATTTATTATTTATACATTTTCTTACATTTATATACATTATTTATCCTCACCCTGCTGCTCCTGTTGCTCCTGTTGTTGTTGTTGTTGTTGTTGCTGCTGCTGCTGCTGCTGCTGCTGCTGCTGCTGCTGCATGCATTAAATAAGGTGTACATGCATATACACCCCAGGAAAAGATGCCACGTTATGTATAAACCCTAAACCCTAAACCCTAATTAAGAGGGGGAATTAATTCAATTAAATTAATTAAAGTAAATTAAATTTATTATTTATATTTTATAAGAGGAAGATATTTATTTATTTCTTTATTATTCCTGCTGCTGCTGCTGTTGCTGTTGCTGCTGCTGCTGCTGCTGCTGCTGCTGTCGCTCACCTACCTACCTGCATATACACCGTAAAACTTTTTTTTTTTTTTTTTTTTTTTTTTTTTTTTTTTTTTTTTT